TGTACCCTTGGAACTATGTCCCCACACCTTGAAGCCACCTGCCTTGCCCCAGGGATGCCTTCTGCCCGCAACCCTTCCCCCGTTCTCTTAGGTGCCCTGTGCATTCTCTCCCCTCGTGGATATTTATATTTGACCTTTGGCCCTGCTTGCCAAGGTGAGCGTTCCCTGGGTAGAAATCCTGGCGTTCTCCACGCCGTGCCTTTTTGATGGAGAGCTTGGCTTCGGTCAATTTGGAGTGATTGGAAATGCCGTTTTACAGTCAGAGTGTCTGGGGGCAGGAGCAGGGCCAGAGATCAGCTGGTTTTCCCTGCCAGATACCATGATGGAGAGAGATATCCGTGATGGAGAGAGAGCTGTTTGAAAATCCCTCTCTGAGCCCTTGTTGTGAAGCCAGGGCTGGCCCGTCCCCTTGGTGGCTGGAACTGTGAAGCGGACCCTACAGCCCCGTTACTACGCGGGGTTTCCTGTGTAAGCGTTTACAAGGTAGTGGGCAGAGGGTGGGCTGGGGTGCCCTGCCGGCTGTGTGGCTTTGGTGCGGTCCCTTAGCCTCTCTGAGCCTGTGCTTACCCTCTGTGACCGGATAAAGCCCAGTGATCGATCCCAACTCTGGACTCAGCCACCTTCGAGGGTCGTTAAAAGATCAGCCAAGATGGCGTGAGGGTTCTTTCCCTGCTCTTTGCACGTTGCTGTCAGCATCATGTTCTGCAAACGCCACGCAGGACAGAATCCCCCAGGAGCCTCGGGACGCGCCAGGCGATGCTGTGAACAATGGCCTGGCCACATCGTTGCCTGCTGTACGTCAACAAAAGAGCGTGTTCCCAGAATCCACTTGGAATAAGCTTTGGGATTAAAACCAGCTGCCCGCTGGTTCCTGAAATTCCATCTGCGTGTGTGAGAGCAGTGGGAACGAGCGAGGGTGGAAAGGGCGGCAGGGCAGGAATGAGTCACGGGGAAGCTGAGGGGGTCACCAGAGGGGAACGCGCCCCGTTCCCTGGGCGCTGGGTCAGCGTGTGGTGGGGGCCCCTGGCCAGGCTGGCGGAGCAGGTGCACCGGGCTGTCCCTGCGTA